TATATACATACACACACACACATATATATATATAAAATTTCAAGTTAGCTTGAGAGAGATTCCCAGAAGCAGTGATTCTTCCAGAGCTCTGGGAAGAGACTTTTCTATGAGGTTCTAGGGCTCAACCCAGGTCTCCCAGACATTTACTCAGATATGTTGAGGGTTATGTCCAAAGGAACCTTTTCATTAGGATGTAATCTTTTAGAGCACAAGAAATTGTCATGTCCATCTTTGTACTCCATTCCCTTGCACAATACTCAGGACAGTAGTGCTTAATAAATGCTGATTGAATTTATGGTAGATTTACTGTATATCTGCTAAATTCAAGGCAACTAACAAATCTCTATTTAGAATGAATGATCATTCACTGTGTGCTAGGTGTATAAAGCATAGATTATTTTAAGTGCTGAGGTAAGTTCCTAGGGTAAGTGTAATTGCCACCATTTTGGAGTTAAGAAAGCAATACTCAAAAAGACAAGTTGACTTGTTCAAGGTCACACAGATGTGGGATGACCAACTCATTTCAGTGTTCCTGTCACTTTCCAATTTTAAAACTCCTGTACCTTGGGCATTCTCCTCAGATCTGGGCAAACTGAGGCTACCTACAGAGAAGGGAAAGTGTGGAGCAGGGGTTTATTACACAGTGCTCTCTAATTCTTTTGTTTATTCCCTTTCCTACATTTGGCAGAATCTCAGGTGGTCACGAGTGCTAGAAAATGTCCAGCATATTGCCTAGCACATAGGAAAAATTCAGGAAGTAGTAATGATTAACACATATGTGTATATGTGTGTCTTATATATTTTATGTACACTGTTTTCCTTAAAGTATTAAAAGTAGTTTAAAATGCTGAAAAATAGTAGCTTTATTAAAACTCACAACATTAATTTTAAATATTTTATTTATGGTCAGTCCAAACAATTTTACCTTCTGGCTTCTTTTTAAAACTTTTTCTTTTTGAGACAGGGGCTCACTATGCAGTTCAAGCTGGCCTTGAACTCACTATGTACCCCAGGCTGGCCTTGAATTCATATCAGTCCTCCTGCCTTAGCCTACAAGTGCTGGGATTACAGCCTGCTCCACCACACCCAGCAACCTTCTTGGTTTTAAGGGAAGAAAACTCATCAATAGTTGTTTTCATCATATGATTTCAAGGAACAAGTTAACCATTAAAAACATATGAAAACCCCTGTGTAGTGGTTACACATGTTTTCTTTTGCTCCATGACTCAGTGTGGTGTTGTAGGGGGTCTGTTTTTAAAATTTTGATATGTTATTTATCATGGGTTTTTCATTCATTTTTATATCACATTAAAATATTCTTTATTTTGATGACAAAGTTCTTTCGTATCTCTTTAAATTCCTCTGCACCTCAAGTGAGAGCCTTATTGCCTTACCCTAACCCCAGTTCATTCTCATGTTATCTGAAAACTCAACAGCACCCTAAATTAAACTCTTACAGAGCAAACTCACCTCAAGAACACACGAAGCCCTCACTGCTGTCCTTGGGATCACTCAATTGGCCTTTAGCCTGAGATGCAGGGCCTGGTCTTGCATTCACCCTTTGTGTGCTTGGCCACAGCTCTCCTGAGGGAGGCGCTGTGGAGCCCAGGCTCCTCTGATGGGAGAAGCTTGAGGGGAAAGCCAGCCAACTGCCTATCGGGTTTTGCCTTACTCGGGCAGTGGGATTGTTATGAAATCACTGACTTTCTATTTGCCTTTGGGGCTGCAATGAACCTATTATTTTCAAATAACTACTCTAATCTAAGACAAGTGCCAAACAGAGCTAAGCTCATCTGCCCTGCGGTGGCCATAAAATCCAGACAATTCTCCCCCAAGTGTTTTTGGTGGCACACCCACAGCTTCTGTGAGATTCTGTTTTTCCCATTACCCTGCGGGTTTAGGGGAGCAGAAGACAGAGCTACACTGGCATTCAGGAAGGGAAGGCTATCTACGTCAATTTTCCAAAACAAGTTTTGACATTTCTTGTAAAATGTCATCCTCTGTCTATTCACCTCAGGTACCCAGTGCTCCAGGCCTTACCTGCTGGGCAATGACGGTAGAGCTGGGACAGGGACATAATAAAGGATCGGGACCCGTGGTCCCAACCTACACTCAGATCCTGCACAGGCATCTGAAGGCTTCTCTTCACAGGAGTGTCAGCAGGTTTTCTTAGTAGTGAGTTGCATGGAAAGGCTGCACAGTTTGAAGCCAGATAAGGCCCTTTTATTTGTCCCCAGAGGCTGGATTGGCTTCCCAAGGATGATATGGGGAATCGTAAGTCATGTTCTTTCCTTTGACTTCCCAGCTCCTGTGGTCTCCGATTCCAGGATTAAGATGAAAGCTTCTGGTGTTGCCTTTGGTCTTCTCTCTATTGTATTTCATCTCCTCTGGGCTTCTTCATCTGGGCTCAAGACTCTCCATTTGGGAAGCTGTGTGATCGTCACAAACCTCCAGGAGATACAAAGTGAATTTTCTGAGATTCGGGACCGTGTGGTATGTAAGGGGAACATCTACTTCTTCTCCCTTTCTTGTCTGTCTCTCCTTCACAGTCTCCCTCCCTGGCAATGTGATTATGCAAGAAGGCAGGCTGGGGACTCCTTAGCATGACAATGCATTCCAGGGAAATAGCTGTAGTTTATAATTTAAAAATCATTTGAAAAGTGTTGCCTTCCACCAGGCCTGGTGGGGAGGGAAAGAGGGGCTTTGAAGTCAGATGCCATGGCAGCCGCCACTGACCTGTCTCTCTTTGCCTTTCCTTCTTCTGTTTAGCAAGTCAATGATAAGAACACTGATTTCAGAATCTTAAGGAGCACTGCATCTTTGCAAGACACAAGGGTATGTGCTAAGCCCCATTGAGCTCTGCGAGGAAGTATGAAGCCAGAGCATCTCCATCACCTGGGGCTTGTCTTCTCCCTGACCTCTCCTCCCAGTAATACTGGTCTTTATAGCCTTCAGATCGCTGTTGCCTCCTTCGCCATTTACTGAGACTCTATCTGGACAGAGTATTCAAAAACTACCAGACCTCTGATCATCACACACTCCAGAAGATCAGCAGTCTAGCGAATTCCTTTCTTACTATCAAAAAGGACCTCCAGCTCTGTGTGAGTGAAGGTCTTGGGTAACGGGACCCATCTTAGCACATAGCTTCAGTGACTGAGCAATGGCTTTCTTTCCCAGCCCTTCTCACAATGGATGGAAAAACTGAGTCCAAGAGCTCTAATAATCTCTGCTGAGTCATGTGATTAGGTACAATGGTACCTCAGTTCACAAACTTAATTCTTTCCATGATTCTGGTTGTAACCAGATTGCAAGACACTTGAGTATATGCTGTTTGCAAAAACTACTTTGCATAGTTTAAAGAACTATAAATGTCAGCAAGTTAGGTAGGTATTTAATGTTCATGATAATTATCTGTTATCCATGAAGTTCCACTTTTCTATAGGTGAGGTGTGCAACAGTGTACTAGTACAGGCCGTGTTCAGGCAGTCAATCAGCAGGCTACTGGACTCTGTCTCAGAACACAGCCTGAATAGGGTCTGGGAATCTAATTCTCTCTTCCAAATGGCTCAGAATTGCTCTGCGATGGACAAGACAAGGTCTGAGCTGGGCATGGCAGGGAGGGAACAGTGGTTACAAGCTCCGTCAGCATTGCCTCTTTCTAAAAAGATGTGATCAGCTCCATAGCTGAGGCTGAAAGCTGGTTTCCTCTTGCAGCTAATGACTAATTTAATGATTCTAAGTAAGGCTGGATGATTCTAAGTAAGGATTTTTCTACATGAATGAGCATTCATAGGATTGTGGGTGAATCAGAATTCTCACTGATCATGTCAATGGAAAGAGCAGAAAACCACAATTTAAAAACAACTGTGTCATTCTTTGGCTCCTTTTCAGCATATGTACATGACATGCCATTGTGGAGAGGAAGCAGCGGAGAACTACAGGCAGATTCTGAATCACTTTGAACAGGTATGTCCTTTTTTGGCAGTGTTTGGGGTGGGCATGATTTTAGACCTGAGATCATAGATAGCTGGGATGGATGCTGGAGGTATAGACATCCTGTGGCCTCAGCTTGACCTCAGGGAGTAGAAGAGTGCTCTCTACCCCACTGCTGTGGGGATGGAAGAGGAATGACCTCGCCGCACATCCACCAAGTCACTCCAGAGACATCTGCATCTCCCTGCTGTACAAATGAGAGGCAATTACGTTTTGAACATCCTTGAACTTACACATTCCTTCAAAAGTTCTCCCTCAACACCCACACTACGCTGCTGCTCACCTCAGCACTTTCAGTACCTGTAGGAAGCCTGGGTCCGCTCCTTGCTGACCGCATCTCCTCCTGTGAGACTCAGCCTTAGCATCCTCTCCAGGAAGGTCCCACCTGCTCCTTTCAGAGTTAAGTGCCTGTTCTGCCATCCTGTGGGGACCCCATCATTTGTCCACTGCCCTGTGTTTCAGTGGGCTGCTGCTTCTGCCTGCAACCCTCGCTCACCTCGGACTCCTTCTGGATACAAGTCATGCCATTCACCCCTCAAGTCCTGTTCACTAGTCCACTGCTTGGCATGACCAGTATTACTTCAACTAAAATATGCACAATAGGCAACCCCTACACACATGCACACACACACACACACACACACACACACACACACACATACTGATACCCTTTTAAAAGTAAACAACCCAATTACTTTCATCTCTGTGAGTCCAGAGGGCTAGGTAGGTTGTAGTCCCAATTCTGCTACCCACTTGGGCCTTGGTTTCTCTATGTAAGAACAAGGTGGTGGACTCAAGGATTTCCCCTTCTCCTATGAAATCTTGAGAGTCTATCATTTCTTTCAAGCTCTTGATCTTGTAAAAAATGCTCTGCTCACAGTCCCTGGGAGATCTAGCAATATGAGGAGGATTAACCTGAGGGCAGGTGTGTCTTTATGAGTTGCTAACATGTGCACACATATCTCTTTCAGCTTGAGCCACAGGCAGCAGCAGTGAAAGTTTTGGGGGAACTGGACATTCTCTTGCGATGGATGGAGGACACAGCATAGGAGGAAAGTGAGGCTGCTGAGTATGCTCCTGACCAAGCATCCCAACCCTCAGTATCACAGACACATGACTGAAGCCGCCATCTCTTTGCCATATAATTCAGTGCTGGTCACAGTGTATATTATTTTTTATGTCTTTACATAGTTGTCTTTAAGTGCCCCAATCTTAATTTTGACCACATCTTTATAAGATTTTTAGAGCATCTAATGTTAAATATATTTATTCATTATTATATTTATTTATTTTTTGCTGCTAAGCTTATTTATTTTTGTACTTGAACAGGAGACTGTAAAAAAAAAATCACAGATTATATTTATAACCTGACTAGAACAAATGATGTGTTTTTATACAGTCAAAAAGTTCTGAGTGGCTAGTCATTTTTATTAAATCAAGGGCATACTTACTCATTGCCAAGGCTCTGTGGGATATTCAAAATTAAACTAATGACTACTTATTGTGGGCGATGGCTAAAGATGTTCTCACTTGAATTTACAATTATCGAGCACCACAACCCAACACTCAAACCTGTGCTTGTGTATCTCCCAGCTATGAAATTCGGCACAGTCAATATGCATTTGTACAAATAAAGTTTCCTTTGCATAACGTCTGCTTGGAGTTTGAAAATGCTTCTGGAGAGAAACGATGCTGAAGTTGAGACTGAACCTTCTTGCCCTCTGGGAAGACTCGGGTGGAAGCCTGGCCTTTCTTCTGCAGACTCACTGCTAGCTCACTCTTGCAAGTCCTCAGATTTCAGGACTGCCCTCTGTATAAAGGGACTATGGCTGAGGGATGGCTTCAGCCATCCCTGTTTTTTCCTGCTTGGGTTGCAACACAGTTCTCTATCTCTGTTTCTGCTCACCCTGGCTTCCATACCCTTGTGTCAGTAGTTTGGTTTGTGATCAATGACAAAGAGCGTGAGGCTGTATTGTAAGGGTTAAGAACCCATTAGTGTGGGGCGTGGTTCCCGACTCTCACCCAGGGAGGGCTGGGAGTTCTGTTTTGATTCCTTCCCATTGTGGATTCTGCCCAGTTCCAGAGTTTAAATTATTGCTGGGTTAAGGATCCATCTTTGTGTCCAAATCTTCAGTCCAAGTGTTTTACCAAGGCTGTCTTCATGTTGTGCTTCCCTGGCTTCCCGGGAGCTGGAATTCTGACCTGGCCTGGTTTGCTTCTTGCTTCCCCTTCACTTTGAGCTGCATCCCACCTCTGTGGCTTACATTTCCCAATCTCAGGAGCAATAGACCCTGGGTGACTTCCTTGCTTCTATAGCTGGCATTTTTATTGTCTCTAATATCTGCTCCCTCTCCTCAGCTTTCACCCCAATATGCATTTGTGGCGTTATTGATTTTTTTCCTTCAGTATAGGACTTGTCTACTCAACAGAAAAAAAGGGAAATACAGAGAAATATAAAATCAGAGAAAAATATAAAATACAGAGAAAATTAAAATCATCCCCAATCTCACTACCCATAGATAAGCACTTTTAAACATTTGTGTATATTTTTCCAGATCTTTTTTTGTTGGGCTGTCATGACCAGTGCGAGTTAAGGTTTAAAAGTTGAACTTCTGAGAATTGAGTTTCTTCTTCAGGAAAGCAGGATGGTGATAAGATCTACTTCTCAGGTGATTTTTTAAAAAGCATTTTTTTCCATAACCCATTTGTTATCACTCATTTTCCATCAGATTTGCACCCTTATCACCTCTGTTCTATCAGATTTTTTCAGCTGCACACCTCCTGGTTCTCTCTGACTGTCTGACATATAACTTGGCTTCCACTCTTGGGGAATAAGAGTTGAGAAGCCAGTTGAGTTGATCTCAGTGTTAAAATTTAGGATTATCATCTCCAAGAGAGGTCAGATGGCAAGGACGAAGCTGGGTTTACCTGACAGGGGTGTGAGTCTTCCAGGTGGAGAGATCTGAGGCTCCTCCAGGAGCTGAGGGCCAAGCTTCCCCTTTTGTTTCCTTGAGAGCATTTTTGACTCTTTTGCAAGTCTGGATAATGGAAATTCTCGGCCCTTGGGGCTCCATGTTGCCACTGGTTTGCCCTCTCTGCAGGATCTATCTCCTCCTCCAAATCATGTGTCTCTTCTCTGTTTGACTTACCTAGTAACAATGATGGGAATTTCGACAACAGACAGGTAAATCCGATTGGGGGTTAAGTGACAACTTCATGGAGGCAGGACTCTGAGGAGTGATTTGTGATGTCCCTTCTAGTGACACTGCAGTCATTTTTCCTTGCCTTCAGCTTTACTCTGCAGTTTCAGACTTCATACCTCAGACTGCCTGGTCTGCAAAAAAGTACCTGAAAAATTTCAGAAATAATTCATAGGTTTCAAATAACTTTTTAAATCATATAGTTAAAAACTGGTTCTATTTTATATTAGTTATTGTTAATCTCTTACTGTGTCTGATTTGTACATTAAGCTTTATCATAGGTGTGTGTATAGGAAAAAATACAGCCCACAGTCAGTCCTCTGCCTGGGAGTGTTTTGAATCCACACATCCCAGTGACTGTGGCTCAAAGAAATTTGGGGAAAATGTGAGTCTGTACTGAAAATGAACAGACCTGTTCTTCTCATTATTCCCTAAACAGTACAGCAGCATAGTAATTTAGGTAGCAATTGCATTGTATTAGGTTTTAGAAGAGATGATTTAAAGTATATGGATATGTGTAAGTTATATGCAAACACTGAGCCATTTTATGGAAGGGACTTGAGCAGCCATGGATTTTGGAAGCCTTGTGGAGGGAAGGGACCTTGAAACTAACCCCCAAAAGATACTGAGGGGTGACTGCTTACAGACCATAGTTCAGTGCTATTCTAAGTTTTAGCCACCCACTGGAAATTTTGGAATATATCCTTTCGAGATAAAGGGGGACTACTGTAAATAAAGCAGGTGTCATTTATCAATTACTTATCATGTTACAGGCACTGTAATGAGCATCTCACATACATTAGGTTATCTAATCCTTAAAACAGCCCTGTGAAGTTAGTAATAGTTTTACCTACAGTGATAATGTGCTCAGAATGGTAAATAATTTTTGCAAGATTTTATACCTGATAGCAGAACTAAGACGGGCAGGTAGGCAGCCTGCTGTCACAGCCCTGCTTACTTTCCCATTCCACTGTTCTCTTTCCTAACAATGGCACCTTGTGTTCAGCACAGTGGGAAGAAACAGTGAAGTTTGTCTTCCTAGGGATGAGTGAAGATCCTGGCTTTGACCTTCGCTACTGCAGATCAGAGACATGAGCCTCCTCACTTCCTTTATTTACAAAATGGAGATTTATTCCTTACCACACTGCATTAACGTAAGCACTAAGTGAGAATGAAACAGCTAATTTGCAGAAGTACTCACTGAGTCAGATGCTGTTCCCAATATCTGCTCGTTTAGTTTGCACAAAAGCATGAAGAGATAGTGATTATTTTACCCACAAGGAAGTGAGGTAAAGAGTCTTACTTAAATTCACACAGCAGCAAATGACAAAAGTAGGGAGGCTGAAGAACTGTGCTCTGCCCACCTTAGCTGGGGGAGGTGGTGTGGCCAGTAGATGGGAAGTACTCGGCCAACAGTAGCCAGCTATGTCAAAAGAAAGCATTGAGCCTTCCTCCTAAGCAGTAGGACTAACCATTAACTTCCTGGTGCCATGTATCACTATGACATCTGCACTGTCTATAGTTTTTCCATGAGTCTAAACCTTGTCTCCTCAACACGCAGAATGTGCATTTGTCTGGAGTTGACAAGATAAATATGCTCCCTTGCAGACTGGCATGTCAGCTCAGCTACAATTAGCTGTTAAATGTTGGCTAAGCCACTTTTTCTCTGCACCTTAGTTGTTGCTCAGAGACTGAACACACAAACACAATGGCCATGTTGTAGGTCCAGTAGGATTTGGACCCACAATCTACAGCAACCAGCCAGGAAACAAACCCAGTACCTATGACAACCAGCCCAGGAAGCCACAGACTACACCTTCAAGTCAGACTTGCAGGAAGAGACACAGGTCTCTCTGCCATTGAACCCAAGAAGCAATAATCCCTGGAGCAACTGGCCCCAAGTGGGCAGGTCTTGATAAATAAACAACAGCTTTCCTAATTTCTGTCTTTGCTTCCAATTTAGGACCAACCAGAGAAAGTCATGTATGTATCCCTAATTGATTACGGGTTGCCCTTCTTTTTAGTTAGCCTACCAGCAGCTTCCCCAAGTCAGCAGCATCGAAACTGGGCACACCTGACACCATCCTCCTTTCTACTTTAAAACCACTCTACTCCTCTCAGGAGGCCCCACCAAAATGAAGGTGATGGGGACTGACTCATTATTCAAGCTCTGAATAAGCTGAATAAATAGCCTTTCCCTATTCTCATTGGATTGGTCTTCATGTATTTCTGCTCTGCATTTGTAAAATGAAAAGGTGGAAGTCAGGTGCAATGGCTCATGCTTGTAACCTCAGTGCTCTGGAGGTAGGCTCTTTCTCAGAAGGAAATAAGGAATGAAGTCCAGGAGACAAGAAATTTAAAAAACAGAAAGTTTTCTGTCTCTCATTTCCACCATGACTCGGGGTTGTCCACTTCCTTGTTTTCAAGGATTCAGGCCTTTCCTAACATAGTTCACTGTGGCTTGTCATTCTGCCCCATTTATATGGATGGAGAACAAATGGGACATTCCCCTGCTGGAGTTTTCAGTTTCTGCAGGACAGCAGTGTGATTTTCCCAGCTTTTAATCTGCCCCATCTTGGCACAGTATACCACTGCAGTATTGATAAGGACTGCATTCAAGAGCAAGAGAATGGAAAGGGTTTAAGAAGAAAATTAAAGAGAACACAAGTTAAATTGCTTTTGATCTGCAAGTGGCCCTTGGCTTTTTAAAAAATGAGTCAAAGACTTTTGCCTTTGCTAGAACATGGATAACTCATTCTGCTCTGCACAGGGGCCTTGCTCACGAAAGGCAGTGTAATAAACGGGTAAGGAGGACTGAGTACAATTCCTCCCTTATGTCAGTGAAGGGTTAAGGCTACTCTCAACCCAAGATCAGGAACACAACTAGTCAATCTCTGAACAGGAAGAGACCAGGATGCAGA